TACCAAAAAGAAAATAGTTTTCATGCCTTATGATGACCGGAGAACCTGTCGGAAGTACTTATATATTTAAGGAAGACTTAATACAGTTTATAATTTTAAAAAACAAGGATCATAACATTCATCGAGTGGTTGGATATTGGGTTAATGCATTTTTAAAAATTTGGTTGGAGAAATGAATTTAGTATTTTATCTCATTAACTTTACTAATTTACTTGTTGTATAAATGATTCATTGTAATGTGTGTGTGTGTGTGTGTGTGTGTGTGTGTGTGTGTGTGTGTGTGTGTGTGTGTGTGTGTGTGTGTGTGACGCCATTCGTGGCGAAATTGTGACGAGTTTTGTGACGACATTCCGATCTTTCTGTCACTGGCCGCTGGGCAACTCCAACTCTCGTCACCTATCTACTTCTCTCACGGCTAAACCCACTTTCCTCCCGACTTCCTGCTTCTCTCTGCTTATATGGATAATCCTGAGGTACCACCCACTCCATCCACTTATGTTTCCGTAAGATTTGGAACCACCCCAAAACCACTTGGGTTGTCAAATCTTCAAAGGATTACTTTTATGACTAAAATCATTTTTAAAATTCAAAGACGAACTGGAGACATGAATTCTGAAGCACTAATCCCAAATTTCACTCAAGACGGACAGGAGAAAAAATTCTTACGAAACTTCAATTGCTAAGTGGACTTAAAAGGAAGGAATTTATCTCCTTATCTTCTAAAGATTTGTGAGAAATCATATTGTTACATATATAATACAAGTGAAAGCGGTTTTCGATTTGTCGTTTACGACTTTGTTAAACTAAAGTGATGTTTACGTTGATGTAGCTCCACATGCGCACAAAGTGGGGTGCTAAAATTTAATTTGATTTTTAATGTGTTTGGTTATATAATCTAGTCAATTTCATTTAGTTTATTTTTCTTTTTATGGTAATTTGATGCGAATATTCGTATATTTTAGTATTAATTCTTCATAATTATTAATTAATTAATAGTGTCATCATTGACTGCTGATAAAGGCAGAATGCTTTGCTCGTAAATTCTCTTTCAATTCTATCTCGATTCCTCAGGAGTATCTTTGCCTAACTTACCACTTAGAACTGAGATTCTACTCTGTGATATGCATATAACTCTGTCTATGGTTTCTGATATAATCTCTAAACTTGATCCCCACAAAGCATGTGGACTCGATATTATCCCTGTAAAGGTCCTTAAGGAATGTGCTACTTAACTGGCCTCTTTTCTCCCCAAGCTCTACAATAAATGCCTTGCTGTCTTTATTTCCAACTTTTTGGAAATCCTCTTCTGTAGTTTCTGTTTCTGGCGAACTATAGTTCGAACTATCAACCTATTTGTTTTCTACCTCCATTTGGCAAAGTACTAGACACTTTAATCAACTCCGAATTGTTTAACCATCTAACCTCGCAGAGTCTTCTTTCAGACAAACAATATGGCTTTCGCTTCTCTAGGTCAACTGTTGATGTGTTGACAGTTATTCCTGAAAGAGTCTATGAAGCTTTAAAAAGAATCGCGAAGCTAGAACTGTTGCTTTAAATATCTCAAAGGCGTTTAACAGGTTTTGGTATGCTGACCTTCTTCATAATTTGAAGGGTTATGATGTTTTCTTTTTATTTATTCTTATCAAATCAAAGTAAATGAAAGTTATCTGGAACGGATAATCTTCTAGATCTTATTGCATTAATGCGGGTGTCCATCAGGCTTCTATTCTTGAACCTACTCTGTTCGTCATTTTCTCCAACGACCTCCCCGATGTCATCAGTTCCCGGTTTGATATTTATACTAGTGATACAATTATTTACTTTACATCTTATTAGTACGTTTGATAGGTTCGATAAGATCAAATTGGCGGCTGATTTCGAAAATGACCTTCAATATGTTGTTAAACGGAGCAAGAAATGACTCGTTAATTTGAAGTTCTCCAAAACTAAACTAGTCTTTCTTAATCATCTGAAGGAGTCCTTTTTGCCTTCCATCAGCATGGCCGATGCTAACCCCCAGGAAAGTAACTCATTGCTCCTTCTCAGTCTTACGTTTTTCCCTAACATGAAATAGAACGATTAATTTGAATCAATTGCTATGTCTTCTGTCAGGAATGTAGGGTTCACTATGTCGTGCGAGACAATTTTTTCGCCTGAATTTCATCTTGCCCATTTATGTCTAGCATTCATCTATGCATTGAATATTACTCGTCTGGTGCTTCTACTATGCATCTAGAGATTCTTGATAAAATATTAAGAAGGATCGGCAACGTTATCGGTCTTGATCTGGTATCTCGGCTTCAGTCACTTTCCCACCACCGTAACGTAGCTATTCCGTGACTTTACTCTAAATACTTTCACCGTAATTCTTCTGATGAGCTTTCCTCTTTGATTCCTCAACGTCAAAAGTTTAAATGTAGCGTGAATTGTAATCTTCTGTTTCCTTGAATCCAGTCCTTTTATTGTCCTCTCTGTTTCTTTCAGTCTCAGTAACCAGTTGTGTCTTTTATCGCCTTCTTGGCGTGAAAAGATTAAAAATAATAATATTTGAAATTTTACGGTTTAAAGAATCTGATACACGAGTATCTATAAGCATTTATTTGTATAAAAGTCATAAATCTATTGCATATAATTTTCAATATTAAAACATGTAAAATAGTATAAATCTGAAAATATTAAAACAGGTTATCAAGACCAAGGGGAACTACTCTTGTTACCGAAAATAATTTTGCAGAGAAGAAATATTGAATTTTTATAACATGCATAAAGTAATTACTAAAATACTATATTTTTAATTCAGTCAATACCGTTTATCACATAAGAATACTAAATATATTAACTCAAAACATGATCCGAAATGATATGTTAAATATTAATTAAGTTTATATAATTAGTCCATTAGTATATTCGAGTTATCTCCCTTACAATACAAACTGATCTTGCTGGATTTTCAAGGGGGATAATTTTGTAAAAGTAAAGAAAATGTCTTTGAATTTTATTGCATCGTCACATCGCATCACCAAACCTATAACCCAGTAGGCCCTTAGGTGGGCTACATATACTGCAGCCATAACAGAAATGGTTTGTCTAGGGAAAAATAAAGTAGAATTAAAATTGTATCAATTTATACATAACGTATATATTATTTTCTTAGTTAAAATTATGATCTCAGACCCGTTTCTTTTTTTGTTAATTTTTGTTCCCTTATAAAAAGTTCTATTGATTCTATTAAAAAAATGAAATATAATAAATTTCTTTGTATAATATTTTATTACATAAAATTTAAAATGTCTAATGATAAAAACAAAGGTGCAGTAAATACAAAAGAGTAAATAATCCACATATGCCTGTGAATAATATACGAACACCACACTCTCCCCTTCACTTTCAAACATACACAGAAAGATAATTTACTTATAAATGTGTGTGTGTGTGTGTGTGTGTGTGTGTGTGTGTGTTTGTGTGTGTGTGTGTGTGTGTGCGGGGGGGGGTCTTATATACACAACTAAAGGGTGTTCCAATAAATTGGACTGATTTTAAATGTTGAATTAAGTTTAAGCGTCTAATGATTTTTTTTCGTTTTCTTTCAGATTTAACAACTTGAGTCTTTGACAATTTTAACTATGGAAATATTAACAATCAAACAACGTGTTAAAGTTTTCGAAACCTATTACGAAAATGGACGTTCAAACAGAAATGCATTTCGCGCACTTCACGATTTTTTGGTCAACATAATCGACCAGAAGAGTGCAGTTGGAAACGATGTAACATTGTTGTGGTGAGGTTTATTTCCTGTCCGCGATTATGAATTAGAGGTGTTTGGAGTCTTGACCACATTCTCGTCCACTGCAGCAATGTTTTCAGCTGAACGGCGTAAACGAGCACACAATGGTGTTTTCACATCTGCCACCGACCCAATTTGTTTGAATTTACGAACATTTTTTTTTAATTGCACTCTTGAAACTTTAACACGTCGTTCCATGGTTGAAATTGCCAAAGACTTAGGTTGTTAAATCTGAAAGACACTTAAACTTTTATTCAAATTTAAAATCGGTCCAAGTTATTGGAACACCCTTTATGGAGGAAAGATGTGTGAAAAAGTAGAAAAAGTTTTCATGTGACGCGTTTCAAAGTTCTAAGTTATAAAACGCATCGCATGAAAACTTTTTCCACTTTGTCATACGTATTTCCTCCAAAATTGTTTTTTATATATAAAAAATATATTGTTATCCCATGTGTGTGTGTGCGTGTGTGCTAAGTGTTATTATTACTATAAACAACTGTGTGTGTATATGGTGATTTTCTAAGCCCGGCTTAGATGTGGCACAAGGCCAAAAGTATGGGGCACCCAATGACGATCGAACTCACTACTCAGTCGTAACTGATCTAGCAAGACAAGCTTTCTGTAACTTACATATAGCGAAAGGTTAACTTTTGCTATATGAGAGTTATCTCCCTTTCAATGGTCACATCTAGTAGTGTTTAATGCCATACATTTTCAATGTTTCTTTAGCCAGGAGTTGAGAACACTGATTCTATGACAATGATAAATGGAGAAAAAAAATTCACTTGTAAAGAATTTATAATCATAAGAAAAACATGAGAAAATATTTTTGATGACATGAGTAAACAAGTATTTAAATAAAATGTTTTACATTCTGACTTTCTTAGCCAACATAGTTTAGCACAAAATCATATTTGTAAAGCAATGGGAAAAAATTGACTATCTACTTTCAAGATTTGATTGATTTGTTTTTTACAGTTTATCAACCCTTTGCAGGTTATTTAAAAACAGAAAATATTTTTAAATTGTAATAATTTTGGGGGGATAATAATGACTTACTGATACAAGTTCTACTAATTAACCCATATCGTGGGGGAGAAGAGGTGGATTCATACCTTTTCCATAAGTGAATATAATGAATCCAACCAGAATCAGAACTCATCTTTCTGATCTGGAATTCTGAGTCATTATCCATTACACCACTCACACATCCAAGCTTACAGCACCTAGTATCCCCAAGTGGTCACCCATCTAAGTACTGACCAGACTCAACATTGCTTAACTTCAGTGATTGTATCAGAACTGATGATTCAACATGATATGGCCATAAACCTCTCTACTCTCAAGAAATTGAACCAATATACTATGGTGTCCTTTTCAGGACAACACTCTTCTACAAAGCTGTCCTTTCCACAACAATGCTCTTCACCAATTGCAAAATTGTCCTTTTCAGGACAATGTTCTTCAGTAGCTACAAAAACTGTCCTTTTCAGGACAACACTTTTCAATGACTACCAAAACTTCTCAGGACAATGGTTTTCTCACCATCTACAACAACATGCAGAGATATTTTTGCCTTGTATACTGTAACCTTATTTGTGTTGATGTATTTTCTTTTATGTATAATAAACTTGGTAATATATTTTTTAACTGAATTCTTTGTTTTATTTGTTGTCTTCTGTCAGTCAATATTTGTTTGTAGGTCAATATATCATCTGCAACAATAATGTTTTGCCTTGTATCTCACACTTTTTTTAATATATGGGTGCCAAAACAAGTTGTTTTTTATCATTTCACCCAAAGCAAGGTGGTAATGCCACTAAACAAAGGGGTTAATGTGAGTGAAATGGAGTGAGTGACTTAAAAAAACAGAAACCCAAGCCTAAAGGGGTAACAAGGGAAAACCTCTACTCCTGTTCTAAAGACGAGAGGAATGTGAACCAAAGTAGAACTACTCGTAATAAACCAATAGTAGAACTACTCCTATTAAACCAATCTTAAATAATTAAAAAAGACAAAAAACAAAAGAAGAAAAAATAAAAGTTACTTCTTAAATATCAAAGTAAATTGTCTCCCTTCAACTGCTTCCATTAGGTGTGTGTGTGTGTGTGTGTGTGTGTGTGTGTGTGTGTGTGTGTGTGTGTGTGTGTGTGTGTGTGTGTGTGTGTGTGTGTGTACATTTGTTATGGTGTGTGTGTCTGGTATGGTGTGTGCACATGTGTGTGTAGTATGATGTGTGCACATGTGTGTGTGCATGTGTGTGGTATAATGTGTGTGTGTTGCATGAAGTTTGTGTGTGTGTTTTCAGAACTTTTGACAAAACATATATAGGTTGTGCAAGACTTAGGTTAGGTCAAAGTTATGTATATACATCTATAAGCTTCAGTCCAAAACAAATTTACTTTATAGGTATATAAATGGGTAAAAAAGGGTAGGTAATTAAATATTACATCAAGTATAAAGCACACATACACTTTTATGTGTGTTATTATTGTGCCATATATTTTCAAGGCTATAGCAGCCGGTGGGTGGGGCTTTAGCACCCCAAAAATTTTTACCAATTCTAGTATTTTCTTCTTCTTGTAGTTGTTTCATTTCTTATTTAGACCAAAATAAAAATGAACTAAGTGAAAAAAATGAATTTTTCCTTTATTAATGAATCTATATTTTCCCTGTAGACATTTAAAGAAAAGATGAAAAGTTCTTTTATTTGTAATGGTTCTCTATTATTTCAAAGATGATTTCTACCAATCTAGTGGTACTGAAAATTTTAAATGTTCATGCTGCTAATCATGTTGGTGGTGACCTTTGCAACTTAAGGCTAAATTCTAAATTTTTTTAAAACACCAAGCCACAAAAAACATTTATCTCTGCTATGGCCCTTATTTTATAAGTATACAAAGATATAAACGATTGTTACAGGTGCTACTGCTACTGCTACAGTTGCACATCTGCAGTGTGAAAGTCTGTGTTGATACATTTTTTTCTGCCAATATGGAAAAATCAAAAAAATCAAAAGCAGATATTTATGTGATTAAAATTATTCTTAAAGTGTGTTTCTAAGACACAAGGTCAAACAAGAGAAGAAAATTCATTGAAAAAGAAATGAAAAATCAATTAAATATTGATCCATGCATTTTAAATTTTATTTCTGAAATCAGACAATTTATGAATGAACAATGTCACAAAATATTTCAATATTTTTTTCTTTAATTTTATTTTGATTACATTTTTATTTTGCTGTAACTTGGGGCAAAATATCAAATTTCAATTTTGAGTTTAATTCAATCAATTCATTCTTAATTCATTTAATGAAATATCAACCATTGCCTTCCTTTATTTTCAATCTTGGCAGACAAAAGTGGAATCAAAATAGAATAGCTGCATTGGAAAATACAGGATATTAAAAAGACTTTGAAAATAATATATAATTTGCATATTGGTTTTTAATGGTTATTGATTTTTTAGCAATCTATACCTAACCTTGATCACTCTTTTCTAATCATTTCACTCCAAGCAAGGCAATAAAGCAACTAAGATAACTAAAAGAGAAAGAAAAAATTTTAGTGAGGAGAAGAGAGATTAAAAAACAGGTTTCAGGAGGACAGAAAATGGTATTTGGTGTTGCATTTAAATTTTTAAAGATTGTAGAACAAAGGGAAGCAAGAAACCAGAAGAGAGTTCCACAGAAGAAAAGTTTGAGAAAGGAAACTATTAGGCTAAAACTTCCAGTTACATATAATTAGTTCTGTAGTAAAGCAGTGAGACCTAGTTGCCAATGTAGTAGTATGCTTAAATTCATTAAGGAGGTGATAATTAAAAACATTGTATATTGTTAAATTTATTCAGTTCATATCTTAGATATTTAAGAAATACGGGTTGTCCATTAAAGGTTTTTCTCAGACATACACATGCATGTTGCATGTGTACATGCAAAGAGTTCTTATCTTGTCATCTGGTCAGTAGATTCAAAACATTTTATTGAATTATTAATTCCTCTTGTCAATTGGGCTTGTGATTATAAAACAGAGCAAATAGAAAAATCTGTAAGAATATCTAACATATGACTGGTTAAATAATTTACTTCCATTTTTTAAACAAGAATTTACTCACTGTAAAGCTCGAGAGCCACTTTAGTGGGTTAGTTGTAATGGTAATGATGAATGAGATATATGATATGAATGAAAGAGGAGAAGGTAAGAAGTGAAGGTGATGAAGACAGGGAGGATACATAACAACTGACCCTTGACTTGAAGAGATTAAAATTGATGTGTTCTGGGAAGCATCCCTGCAGGAGTCTGTACCAACCATAGCAGTCCTTGAAAAGAAGCTCTGAGTGTGAATTTTTTTCCTTACATTTGGAACACAGAGGAAATAAGAGTGATTCATCTCTATGGAAGTGGCATGACATGTCCTATCCGTAAAGTTTTGAATTGGTGGAACTAAAAGAACGGAACTCTTCTTAACATTTTCCATGAAAATAGAGTAACTATAGAGATTTTTGGAAATGAATTGTGGAAGGGAATGTTCTGGTATGACATTATTTTTCACAACTAATTTCCAAAATTCTTTGATGAAGCTTAAATAAAAGTGAAACGTGTTAAATTTATAAACATTTCCTATTTGTTCTTTATTCTATCATATATATATATATATATATATATATATATATATATATATATATATATATATATAGTTAAATTTCCCAGAGATAATTCTAAAAATAAAGACAAATTGGTTTTAAAATGACATTTGGAAAAAAATTCATAGCTCTTGATGACGCATTTCATCTTTTGACTTTATCAAGACAAGCAATGAAAGCGAAATGTTTTATCACCATATTTACATCAAATCCAAGATAAAAAGAGATGCCCCTGCATAATCATCTTTCAGGATATTGGTATTGGTAACTTCCTTTTTACTAAGAGTTTGTTTTTTGTTTTCCATGTCAATTGGGGTCAAATTTCATATATATATATATATATATATATATATATAAAAAGAGGGAGAGAAACAGAGAGAGAGAGAGTGAGATAGATAGATAGATAGACAGATAGATAGATAGATAGATAGATAGATAGATATGTTTCAAATAGTAGACATTTTCAATTAAATGATCAGTCAATTAAGAACAATTGCTGGAGTGTCACATGGGTGACTATTTAAAGTCATCAACTGTATCTTGTGAAAAAAATAAGGAAGCAGATAAATAGGTGAAAACCCAACAATTTCTGATACTCAAAGGAATGTGTGACAGGAAATGTGAAATACATTTTCAGTAGTTACAAACATATACACAGCTTCAAACTTAAGCTTAAGAAGTGCTGTTAATGTTGATATAGAGTCTCATCGGTCTGTGGAAGTTATGTATGCATTGTCTCCTTTAATAAGTGTCTGTTTGAAGTTTTTGAATATAGGTGGCATTTGTAATTAATTTACCCGGGCAGGTGTGGTGATAAGTAGTTGACCAATCAATGCTAAGCTCATTTCTGTAGATGATGGTTGCTTTATTTTTAAAGAAAAAAAGAAAGAAAATTGATCTCTTCTTCTTACAACAATAAAGGAAGCATATTCCTGGGAATTCCAGACTTGTGGCAGTATCTCATTACACTAAAAATAGCAGGGGAATACCAATGATAGCAGTCACAAAGACTAGGAAGTTTTTAGTCATGGCCCGTATCTATAAGTTTGTGCACCTCATGTTAAATCAGCCATGTCTCACATGCTTCCACACAAAAAAAAAGGAGTGTCATCTTCTTTCTGTAACATCATAAATCCTACACTAGATATCTCTTTGTAATTTCTTCCCTTGAAAATAACCAATGATGATCAAAATTGCTTGGAACATGACATAAATTATAAAAATTCTTCTACAAGATTTCACCTGACTAACCAAAAAGCTTAATAGACATACTTTGTCCATCCGGTTTAACAGAACATGTTTAAACAAAGATGAAAATGAAACTTAACATGAAGATTTATGTGTTTAGGTTTACACTGTACATTTTTGTTTACAAGCTTATAAATATCAAAATAGGTAAAGCTAATATCAAAGTATAACAATTTAAGAAAGTTCCAAGATATATAAAGAAATGTTTATGATTTGAAGTAAGCATTTCATTTAATGCATAATATCAATGTAGGAATACAGAAGATGATTATCTCCCTTTGTTTAAGATGAAGTCACATGGGTCACATGATGACCGTTTAGTGATGTCACTTCATAAAGGGACAACAATGGTCAGTCCTTCAGTCAGCTTCTAGGAGTCAAACTGAGCAGTTACATTTTTTAGACCAGGCTCCTTGGCTAAATCTGCCTACCCTAGCC